GTGGGATTTTTGTGTGATTTTGTGGATATTGAGGCGATTTAGGGATCTTGAGGGATTTCTCATGTATTTTGTGGGAATTTGTGGAGATTTGGTGGGATATTTTTCTAGAATTTGGTTGTGTTTTGAGAAGATTTAGGGAATTTTGTGGTGTTTTTTCTTGAATTTTGTGGGAAACTGTGCTGATTTTATGGAGCGTTTCTGGAATTTGGTCGAGTTTTCAGAAGATTTAGGGATTTTTGTGAGATTTTTGTGGGATGTTCTGGGAATTGGTGGAGATTTTGTGGGACATTCCTGTGAATTGGTAGGGTTTTGAAATGATTTAGGGAGTTTTGTGGGACTTCTCTGGAATTTTGTGGGTTTTTTCTGGAATTGTGTGGGATTCTGAGGAGACTTGAATTTTGAGGAATTTGTTTTAGATTTTGTGGGAATTTGTGGAGATTCTGTGGGATTTTTCTGGAATTTGGTGGGCCTTTTCAAGGACTTTGTGTGGTTTTGAGGAGACTTGAAGAATTTTGAGGAATTTTTCTTAGATTTTGTGGAAACTTGTGGAGGGTTTGTGGGATTTTTGTGGGATTTTGTGGGATATTGAGGCGATTTAGGGATTTTGAGGGATTTTTCATGTATTTTGTGGGATTTTGTGGAGATTTGGTGGGATATTTTTCTAGAATTTGGTCGTGTTTTGAGAAGATTTAGGGAATTTTGTGGGATTTTTCCTGGAATTTTGTTGGATACTGGGGAGATTTTGTGGGATGTTTGTGGAACTTTGAGGGACTTTTCTGGAATTTGGTGAGATTCTGTAGAGAACTGACGAATTATCAGGGGTATTTTCATGTATTCTGTGGGATTTTGTGGAGATTCAGTGGGATTTTTGTGGATTTTGGCCATGTTTTGAGAAGATTTAGGGAATTTTGTGGGATTTTTCTGGGATTTTGTTGGATATTGAGGAGATTTTGTGGGGATGCCGCCCTGCCCCGGCGTGTGCCCTGGGAGAGGGTGCGGTGGGCGCCCGAGGAGACAAAAGGAGGAGAGCCGCGGTCTGCGGGGCTTCGCACACGTGAAATTTTCTGCAGTACTCTCGTTTTCTGCTCAGGGCCATTAAACTTTGCGTGTAGTTTATTCAGGCGGTCGCGGGAAGTGCTGGGAAGGGCAGGTGGCACAGACCCCGCCAGCTGCTGGGTTACCCCATGCCCCCCTGACTGGCCTAGAAATCGTCTCCCTCCTCAAAAATAATTGATAGAATAGCCTTCTTTTTTAAAGAAATATGAGGCCTCACCGTAGTTTGTTCTGCAATTCTTTTGAGTGGTAGCATGAACAAGTTCTACTACATCATGAGGAAAACTGGGTTTTTAGCGTATCCTTCCACATACATATGTGCAGCACCCATCTGCTTGTGTTCTCAAGTTATTCACACTCATAGAAACCCATTCTCAGATTGAAGAAAGGGTAACTTTAATTCTGCCTTGTTGATCATTAAGTTCGAGTGCAGATTTCCAGGCATTCTTTTAATTTTTCTGACCTACTTTTTAAAAAACCCATTAGCAAGATCAAAATGGCTCAGCTTAGCACTTGAGCCTGATTTTTTTCATCAGAAGTTTATAAGGGGAAAATGTGATTTTACATCTGTTCTTAAATTTTTACAGCTCACGTGGTTCCCTGACAGTATCTTTGCACATCATGGGCTGCAGGCAGGTACCTGTGATGCTGCAGCTCCTCAGTGTCATCATTTGGGTTCCCTCAAGTTCCAGATATGCTCAGAGGCCTGTGTTGTAGCTGGAATTTTTGTGTGGCTCTACACTTGGGCAAAAAAATCACCCATCTAATTATACAAGCCAAAAAATGATTTATGCTCTTTTACTGCCATCAGAATTAGGCTTTGTACCTGGTCTAATTTCCTCTGTGTGGCTTTTCTTCTGATTATTGACCGCTAATGATTACTCGCTGTTTTATGGAAAAAAATACCTGGAAGCTTTGATTATCCCTGCAAGACAAGAACAGAATTAGGAGCAGTGGGATGAGTTGACTATATGAAGTATTTTTCTGTTATAAATGTTTGAAAAGGAAAAAAAAAATTCAGACGTGGCCCATAGCAACGGCAGATGAGGGCAAAAACAATTCTGAAGCCTGTCTTCAGTGCCATCATGTGAGTGGCACATCGTGACTCTGTTTACCAGCTGGAGCGGGTGGCATGGTGTCGTTTATTTCACAAACTCCTGGGATGTGCAGCTGAGATCAGGGAGGAGGAGTTTTTAAAGCGCATGGGTGAGGAGGGTGTAAATCAGAATTGTAAAGCAGGTGCCGGTTGTTTGTTTGGGAGCGAGGGGTGCCGATGGATCAGGAGTGCTGTGATGTGCAGAACACGGAAAGTCCTTGCTGCAGAGACGGGAACTGCGCTAATGCAGATCGCTGAGGCTGCTGTGAGAGGCACCTGTGAGGGCTCTTCACGCTTCCTCCCCATCACCTTGAGGAACGCTGATGATTTCTCCGCCCCTTTGTTGCTATTCTCATCTGACACGGAGCTGCTGCTCCTGTAATGTCACTTGTCCCCAGTCTGCTGTTTGCCAAGGATGCGACACAGCAGCGTCCTGGAGGGTGAATGCCTTTGGTGGTGTGGCTGCACTGCGCCCCTGAACCATTGACCAAGGCCGTTATTTGTTAATTCAGCAGTATTTAGGATTAAAGTCTTGTCAGGACACAAACTATCTAAAAATAGCTGGGCATACCCCTCTCGAAATAGTGCAAAGCATCCAAAAAAAGTGTTGGTTAAAAGGCAAACCAAACCATTTTTGACATCAACTTAGGCCACTTGTTTTGCAGTGTTGTGCCTGGACTCCCCTAAATACCTGTTGCTTTTGAGGAAATTTCCTGAATTGCTGTTTGTGCTCAGCATTGGACTTTTATATAAATTTTTTTTTGTTCTGAGAAAAAAAAGACAAAAAAACCCAAAAAAAGAGCTTTTTTGTTCTGTTATTTGAGCTTAGTCTCCAAAAGCTGCAGCCAAGAAAGGCTCAGCTTGTGCCACGGATGGGGAATGTTTGTCCCTTGGAGCAATATTAGGGAGGGATCCTGCTGCTGACAGGTGGAGTTGGGAAGGGCAGTGTTTGAAGAGTCCTGATCCTGAGTAGTGGCTGTGCTCCCACATTTCTGGCTTGGCTTTTGTTGCTGTAGTAGCAAATGCTTTATCTATTTTCAAACAGGGCTCTACGAGTTTAGTGTGTCATGTTTCCTCTCCCTCTCACAGATTCAGGCTCTTAGTCCTTCCTGTCCTCTGCTTGGCCAATACACTTGCTGTTTTGCAGCCTCACCTCTCTCAGACTTGGGTCATGATCTTTGGGTTGCTTTGCCTCTCTTCTGGGACATTGGGAAAATTGCTTATTTGAAGAGGAGACCCTTTTTTGGATAGAAAAGGGAAAAACCTAGAAAAACTTGTACGTCGTGCTTGTGTTGTGGGCTTAGCCATACTTAATCAGACTTTTTGCCAACCATAATTTAATTGTTGAGGGCAAATAGCGTTCATGCAAGTTTTTAATACAGACTGACACTAATGAAGTGAATATAGATTAACCTTATTTAACTGTGAAATCAAATTGGTCAGTTACCATTTCATGGAAGGCCAGTGACAGAGGCAGGATTTTATTTCCCCAGATTTTCTGGTGCTCAGTACCGCATTATACCTTTAGCTCTGGAAAAGATACAGTTCAATAAAATGTTGCACTGGGCCTCCTTCCTGCTGTGGTTGCTGCTGACCTGAATTGTCCTCTGGTCCTGCATGTTCTGAGGCTCCACAGGAGCTTTTTAGTGGGGATGGCTGGAACTTTGTCAGTGATGGGGAACAGCAGGAGACAGCATTTCCTCACAGAGAAGTGTCTAAGAACCCACAGACACTGAGGTTTCCTTGGTAGTGATGTCTGCAACACGTGTAATAATACAGCAGTCTCTGAGGCTTTATAGCAACTTTAATTTCTTTAATTTTCCATTGATACTCCTGCAGGGACATTAATGTGTTTGGGTGGACTCTGGGTCAGTCAGCATCATTACTTCACAAAGGGATGTTTGTATGAGACAGAAAGTAAAAGTCAATTCAGAACTAACTTTGTCTTTTGTATTTTGGCAGGTCTAAGAAAATGGCTGAAGATGGCACCGAGGAGATTGTGTTTATTTGTAAGTATTAGAAAAAGGATCTAACTCCCACTGTGTGTGACTTGTCTACTCAGAATGCTTGAAATTAAAGCCTAAACCAGACTTAAGATTTTATTTAGAAAAATTGCTTTATGTAAAGGAGGCTCAAATGGCTAAAGGATAGATAGAGAGGAGGCTGTGTAATTTAAGCATACACTTTCTGACACTGTTGGCAAACACACAATGAAACCTCTGAATGTGAGTTAGCAGCACAGCTTTTTCATGGCTGAAGTGAGTGAGATTGAAGGTCTAACACTCATGTAAGCCCTTTGTTTATACAGCCAGCTCTAGCAGCCAGGAGTGTCTGGGGATAACTCTGACCTCTGGCCTGACTTGGGGATCTGCACCTCCACAGCAGGGGCAGGCAGACTCATAATTCTTTCAGAACAAGCCTAGTTTAGGATGCACCAGCTGCCCTGGCAGGTGTCACTTGTGGCATTCACTGTGCTTCTTGCTGTGCCCTGTGTGTAACCCTGAGTGCCAGGCTGGGCTCTGCACCGGGCTCCTGCTTGGTGGTGGTGAGGAGAGGCTGCAGCAGGGCTGTGCCCAGGCTGGGCAGTGTCCCACCCTTGCTGGGGCTTGGCTGGCAGGCTTGGGTCTCACATTAATCCTCTCTTTTGTCTCCAGCCTGGACATGCAGGACCTGGTGTCACTGTGGAAAAGAGTTAAGGGATGTATGGTCCTGGTGTGAGCAGAGAGGGCCCAGATAGTGTGGATCCAGACAGGGTGGAGCAGAATGGAGCACATCCTTGGTTTTTGGATCCACAGTATTTTACCTGTGATAGTTCCACAGCTGCATTTATGGCAGCTATCAGAAAGTTTAATTTTCTCCTTCTACCCGATTCCTTCAAAAATAGTGTTGACAGTTTGCATTTTTACTGAGATGCAGATACCAATAGTGGTTACCTTATTTTCCCCTTCATAAAAAGATTCTGGTGGAAAAGAATGGGAATGTGATGCCACTCCTAATTAGATAGAAGGTGTAAAGCAACATGATTTTCTCCCTTCCAGTGGGGGTTGTGGTCACTGAATATCTTGAGTTTTTTCTTGTGCTCTCTGCAATTAGTTTTTCCCATGGGATATGGGGACTGCTTATGTTCCAAAAAAGTGAGCTGCTATAAATGACACACTGCACTTCCAATAATAAACATCCTTGAATATATATTTCATAGACAAGAGAATTTTGGATTTTTTTTTTTTCATTAAGTGTGTGAATATAGTCTCCCTAGGGTATTTTATGGTTATTCCCATGCTTGTTTTTTGTGTTTCTCCTGTGTTTCTCTCTTGAAAGTGTCACAATTGGCAAGTGTAACAGCTTTGGGGATGGCTGCAGTAGGGCATTCCTTGGATATTGAGCTGTGCCACACAATGTCATTGTCATGTTCCCCTGCAAAGGAGTGAGAGGAATGTGTGGCTTGTTCCTGCCTCTAGTTGTGGGCAGTGCTGTCTGCACCTTTCAGAGTCTTATCTTTGCAGAAGTGAGGAGTACCTTGATCCAGTCAAGGGATAAGGAAAATGACAAAGTGCATTTTCCTTTGGACAACAAAACCTGTTGGAGAAGCTGTTACTCAGGCTGTTCCTTCCTGTCCTCTTGCCTATGACAGCCCTTTGTGGATGACAGTCCATTTCTTTTCAGCAGTCAGTTTTACACATTCCTCTGTGGCTCCATCACCCTCTGGTTTGGGAAATCTGCTTTTAGCCCAGATTATTTCAGTAATACTAAAGCCAGTCTGGGCTACAGGCACACCTGGAGCAACAGGGGAATGGTGGAACAGTGAACAGGACAGCTGTAGGCTGAGCTTTGGTGCTGGTGCTCTGTGAGTAGCACTTGGCCATCAATCTTTTCCTCTGGTACAATAACTCTGTGGTGTTGTACAGCAAGCCAGGCTGGGAAATCCCTTCTGCTGAAAAATCATGTGAAGAGCTGGTTGTTTCATTCCTTGGCTCACCATAAACCAGCAAAAACAACTCTGCAGGAGGCAGTGACCAGGCTTGGGGGTTGCACCAGCCAGAAATGCTGTTTGTCAAATAAATGTATTTTTTCACTGCTAAGCTGGTTTTGTTGCCAGAAGAAATGTGAAGCAGTTTGAAATCCCTTGTTTTAGAAGTCCTTTTGTTCACTGGGACGAAAACCTGATGGGGAGAGAGGCTTCTAGTTAGGAGCACAGAGTAGTTTTGCCAGAGGGGATATACCTTGGAATGACGTGGCATTTGTCATGTCTTCCCCAAACAAAAGGTTTAACAACCCTCTACTTTACACTTTCTGGGGTGTCTGAGTTGCAGTTGTAAGTTTGGAGCTCAGATGTAAAAGGCCCCACAGCAATATAACCCCTGTGTGATGATCTCTCCTGAAGCTGTGTCAGCAGCTGACCAGGCAGGGCAGTTTGACAGCTATTTTTTTCACAGTGAAGCACTGTATAAGCATTTGGAATCCTGTTAAGTTTGCTTATTTTAGAAAGCCTCAAATTATCCTCGTCTGAAAATTGTTTCTTAGGAACCACTCAGTTCTGGGTAATTTACAGCCACTTAAACTAAAAGTTAATTTAGCTAAGCTGACAGTGAATTAGTTGGCCAGTGTGTGTTGTGCAGGCAGCTGACTTGTCTGGAAGGGCAGCAGGAGGTACCTGGGAGCTCTCTGTCCTGCCCTGTGGGTAAGAAGTGTGTGTGGCCAGGCAGATCTGGGCTCCCAGGACATGCTGGTGCCCTGCTGAGCCCTGTGCCAGTTCTGCTGCTGGTTCTGGGTTTGTGCCTCCTGTCACTGGAAGCACCACAATTCCCAAGCTGTTCATAACAGCCCAGCTCCTGGGGAAGGCAGTGATGTGGTTTTCTTTAGCTGCTATGTGTTGCTGCACTTTATCTGAAGAATAATGCTATCTTCAAGCAGAATATTTACTGTGGGTGTAAGGCATTTATTTTCTTTGAGAGAGAATTTATACAATTGTCCTCTGATGGTACTGATCACAGTGTGTGTTATCTCACCTACGCAGGTGCTAGCTATCAACTCGGTGTTCAATTATTCATGTTCTTTCAAGCAATATAAATAAACACCTGCCCCTCTACCTATGTATTTTGCATTTTGGATTTTGTATCTGGTTTTCTCTTGAAAGAGGGAGGAAACTATCTTACAGAAGTGTTTTCCACCAACCTTTTCTTTCTGGTTCCTTGCAGGGTGCGAGGACTGTGGGCAGTACCATGATTCAGAGTGTCCTGAGCTGGGCCCAGTGGTGACAGTCAAAGACTCCTTTGTATTGAGCAGGGCAAGGTAAGAAATGTTTGTGTTAATCCTGACTAACCCAACGCCCATGCTAGTCCTTTAAAGCATATTTGCTGTTCAGTGGATGTCACACTGAAAGCTGGAAACTGAAGTCCCAGAGGATGACAGAAATCTATGGAAAGCACATGGCCTTGATTAAATAGAAAAATTGATGCACACACTTAAGTGCTGCGCTGAATTGAAGCCAAAAAAAATAACTTGCTGCTCATCAGGACTAGTTTTTTTTGCTGAGGTTTCTGGCAAGAAGTAAGGTGGTACCAGATGGGGTGATGACTTCTGTCGTGGTTGAGTACCTGCCAATTTTATCCCCCTTAGATACATCAGATTCATTTCAGAGAAGTGTGTGAGGATTTCTCATTCATGTGTATGAACTCTGTCATTCCTCCACTTAGAAGCAAAACAAGTTGTTCTCATTATTGTGGGTCTTTGTAAACGATTAGGGGTAATAGTTCTGTCAGCAAATCTGTGACAGTGCAGCAGAAACACTCATGTTTGCCAAAAGAAACAAATAGATTCAATCTAGTTGGGAGAAAACAACACTGACTAATGATTTTTACAGGGAAAGACAATCAGGCACTGTCAGCAAAATTCATATTAAGGTGTAGAATGTAAGGCTAAGGAAAAGAACCAACCATTGTGTAGTACAGATCCAAAAAGAGAAGTGTTCAGATGCCTTCATATGTTACATAATGTGTGCAGGCCTTCTATATTTCTTCTTGGGAAGTCACAGGCACGTGGGCAGCAAGTCTGGCACATCCTGGCTGTGTAGGCCATGCTGTGTATTCCCAGCATCATTTTGTAACAAATGCTGATGTGCTGGATCTGCCACGTGGGTGCCACAGCCCCTTGGCCAGGGCAGGGTGCTCTTGGTGTCCCATGAGTACAGTGGCTGCACCTGTGTAGGAGTGTCCCTGCTTCCCTTTCTGGGCCTTCCCAGAAAAGGAATTTCCCTGCAGTTCCACTGCCTTCCTGTGCCTGGACACCTGCCTTGGATGATCCCCTCCAGCAGCTGTTAATGGTTAACAGCTCTGACACTACAGGTGTTTGAGGGTAATTTAAAAATTTAAAAATAATTATTAAAGCTGGTGAGGGAGGTGCTTTTACTGTAAATAAAAAATGGGCAGTGCAGTAAGTCTCTAGTTTGTACTGCACACATTTAATGACAAACTACTATTTCCTACCTTTTTTCTATTTTTTTAACTTACACTTTAAGGTCCAGATGTTCCAGCTGGGAATGTTTGCAAATATGGTGCATGCACTGGTTTTCAGTCTCCTTTTAATATGCAAATGCTAAGTTTTCCCTAGTGGAAGTATGGGCTGCTGGACCATAGACTTTAAAGCAGAGCTTAAAATTGACTTCTTTACAGATAAATGTATTTATTCTCCTGAAGAGTTTTCAGCTGAAATCAGGTAAGAAAAGAAAAGAAGAAATTTAGTTGCAGCCTTTATAATGTGGGGAACAGTAGCTGAAAGTGAGTTATCTGAGGCTGAGGGCAAGTTTAACCACAAGCTGGATATGAATCTTTTAAAAACAGTCTGCTTGCTTAACCATGTTTGTTGTTCCCTCTGTCTTACTGAAAAGATAAAATGGATGCTTTATAGTTAGAAGTGTTGGGAAACATCTCCTGAACTTCTCTAATATATTATATTTATTTTTAAAATATTTTATATTTTTCATCTATTAGCACAGACCTAAAAAACCAGAATTGCATTTGGTCTGTAAAACCAATACGGTGGGGTCAGTCATGTAAATTTTTGGGAAGATGTTCTCTGTGTATTGTATTTAATAACAGTATTTACTACATGTGGTTCTTCTTCATGAAACTTGTTTGGGAAAAGAGAGAGGCTGGGAGCACAGAAACACTTGTGTTTAATGCTGACTTCTTTCTTCCATGGGCTCCTGCAGTGCATAACGATTACTGGACGAGGTGATGTTCAGCCAAAGGTTGAACTTGATGGTCTTGGAAGTCTTTTCCAACCTAATTAGTTCTGTGATTTGTTTATTTTTTCTCAATTCTCTCTTAAAATTTTTAGATCATCTCTGCCTTCTAATTTGGAGATAAGACAACTGGAGGATGGGACTGAGGGTGTGTTTGCTCTGACTCAGCTGGTGAAACGTACCCAGTTTGGCCCCTTTGAATCCAAGAGAGTTCTCAAGCTGGAGAAAGAATCAATTTTTCCCCTGAAGGTAAAACACAGAATTTGTAAAGCAATAAATAGGAAGGAGTCAGTTTTCCCTGTGATGAATTAGTGCTGTCTAACACTATGGAAACAAAGATACGTGAAGGGGGATTATTTGGAATATCTTTTAGGTGTGCCCTGTAAGAGATGAGCTAAACAAACATTCTCTGGGCAAGGAACAGCAAAACCAAACTAGAAGCTCAGTTATTTTAATGAGTCTCTTCAATTTGATTGAATTTCCCTAATGAGCCATATATGCATTAGGTTTATGGAACATGCAGAATAAGTGGGTTTTTTTCCCTGTCTTGCAGTTGTTTTATTCCTCTCTTGACAAGTTTTGGTAGGAGAAATGCCACATTAAGAATGGAATTCAGTCTTTGTTTCCACTAATACCTAACTCAGAAGTAAAGTTTTAGAAATGTGCTTTTGGCTGATGGCTGTTTGGATACCCTTCCACTTATGTATGCACTAATTTTTTGGGAAAAAAATAGTGGCTACAGCAAGAATTCTTGGGATGATTTTGTTCAGTTTGTTCCCATCTTGCTTTTGGTTGTCTGTCTCATCTGAAGGTGTGACTAAGTGAAGGATGCAAGACTTGAGGCTTGCTTCGTCCCTTATGTCCATTGAAAAGAAACCACTGAAAAAGCAAAAAATAATTTTTTTTTCCCTTAACTTTGTATCACTTCTCAGGGATTTTATTCTGTGCACATTTTGCTTGGCAGGTGTTCCAGAAGGAAGGGCCCCTGGTGTATTTTGACACCACAAACGAAGATGACTGCAATTGGATGATGATGGTGCGCCCAGCCACCGAGTATGAGCATCAAAACTTAACTGCCTTCCAGCATGACAATGACATTTACTTCACCACCTGCCAGGACATCCCCCCAGGAACTGAGCTGCGAGTGTGGTATGCAGCTTTTTACGCCAAAAAAATGGAAAAGCCAGTGCTGAAGCAGGTCACTAGTGTTGCCAATGGTATGTGTGGGGGCCTTTCTTCCTTCCTAAGGGCCCAGTGCTGGCAGGGACTGGCAGTCCCTGGCTGTTGGAGTTGACAGTGCTGTTTGTCCAGTAGGCTCTTATCCTGCAGAGTCAGGCCAGCCTGCACATGTGGGTGCCCTGTGAGAAGAAAGTGTAGATTCTTCACCATGATACAGCCAGGTTTTTTAAAACAGGTGGCCTAGTTAGTGATTCAGCCTCTGCAGAGTGGACAAACCTGATAAATAGTCCTTAACTAAAGATTTGGTGGCTGTATCAAAAGCATTTCTGGGTAGAACAGCAAAGGAGCTCAATTATCAGAGAAATCTGTGTGCAGATTTGCTAAAAAAGCTGTTCTTCAGTTGCAGTGAAAATGGTTTGGTTTTGCACAGAACTGTTACAGTTTTAAAATGCCAGATTTGTCTTAAGCAGCTTCACATGGGACCCACTAGAGTAAGATCCACACGGCTGTGCTTTGGAAAGAACAGAATCAGATCTTTTAGAATCTGAATTAGAATTGCCACAAGTTCCAGTGTTTTTCCCTTTGTATTCTCCTACTTTTCCATTTCTACAGCTGAAAGGCAAGATCCTTTAGCATTGCAAGGGCGTTTTCTTCCTGCTCTTGATCTGGGAGACTCCCTGGATGTTACAACTGCTCTGCTGGGTGTAATTTGTGGTTACAAATTTGGGGAGAGGCCATTACCACCAGTGTCAGCTTTATGGCTGCCCTTTATCATAAGCAGAGTGCTACAGCTGAATCAATGCAGTTGACATGTTTCTGAACTCTGAAATGTTTCCAGTTGGTATTAACGGAGAGGTTTCATCTTTTCCCACTTCAGTTTAACCTGTTCATGTATTTTTATGGGGTTATAGGTATTTAAAAATACTGTTGAAGTATGCCCTGCTCTCTCTGTTCAGCACTTCACAGAATATTAAAGGCACAGTGGGTGAAATTCAAGTATAAGAATGCCCTGGTTGAAATTTTACATGGGGATGTTATTTGCAGGCCTGTTACAGAATAAAACATTCTGACTGTGGTTACTGCCCTCAGCACAGAGCAAGAGTCAAAGGGTCTGGGCAGTAAAGAAGATGAACTCTTTTTCCTCTTCACAGATACGTCCTTGGTAGCGATGGAATCTGATAAAGAAGGGGATAATAACCTCTCTCCAAAACCTTCATCTGCTGTCTTGCCCCATAAAAAAACCAAGAGATCCAGCATACTAGCAGCTGATCCAGCAGGTATGCAAAACTACAGTGCTCTTAAAGGAGATGGAGGACAGATACAAGTCTGCAGAGATGTTAGGTGTAACACTCCTACACATGTATTATGGATGTATAACTTCTGGCAAATACTAATTTGGAGAGGATTTGAAAGCTTGAATTTTTCTTGGCCACAATGCTTAAAGTGGATACACAGGTTAAAAAGTGACAGAGGGGCCAATAAGCTTTTAAGCAGATTATTTTCATGAAAACCACAAGTGCTCCTGACTTTGGAGGTTGTTAGTGTTGGGGTGGGGCAGTCCCCAAGAAAATCTTCATTCTGCCTATTCAAAGTGTAGTAATTCAAATGATCAGGCCAAGTCTTAGAAGAAAACCTTTCAAATATTTGGAAATGACAAGAACACTGGCCATCCCCAAATTACAATAATGCCACAGTATGTGCCACTATTAGAGTTCAGACTGTTTAAATTACAGAAACTCAAATTTAAACAAACTTACAAGCAGTATATATCCTCTTGGCAAAGAACAAATGGCTGAGGAAATACCTGGTAGTGTCATAAGAACTCTGTCCCAAGGATTCATTACAAAGCAGTGCCCCCCCCTTCCCAGTCTCTGTTAAATGAAGCAGTGAAATTAAGAACCCACTTAACACAGATTTCAAAAAGTACACTCAGAGTACACAAGATCAAAGGAAAACCATTCTAGGTCTGCCCTTTGAGAGGTTATTTTCCTAAATATGCTTATTAATAGTAAAAGTAGCCAGGAGGAAAGGAGGGGAGTTGTTGCAGACGTGTACAGAGCAATTGATCAGAAGATCCATTTGTCATCTTAGGTTCTGTCACAGCTAACCTGTGAAGGTGCCTGGGGAATTGTCTTCCAGTTTGGCAATATTGGTTTTTCCAGAGGTAAAATGATGAGCTGGAGCAGCCCCATATACTTCCTTCACCCTACTGCCTTAAAGTCCAGCTTCAGTAGAAACAAAATGCTGCCTCTTATATTTTCGGAACCCTGAGGTGTTCCCACTGATGTAGTCTTTTGGTGTTTCCAAAACAAAATTTTCTTCTTTGGATTCTGTTTGCCTCAAGTCATACCAAGCAGTTGCCAGCTGTCAGATCTGTGGTTCCAGGTCAGCCAGGTTGCCCTGCAGCTGCCCTGGAGGCCCGAGGAGGTGGGAACTTAAAAAGGACCTGACTCTTCCTGACAAACCAGGAGCAAGGGAAGTGCTGAGTCAGGCACAATTAGCTTACACAGAATCTTGGTTTGCTGCTTTTGTCCTTCTGGACAGAGCCCTCAAGAAGTTCTTTATGTAGCCTGTGAAGAAGGAATTTTTGTTGCTGTATTGCCAAGTCATTTCTTATTAATTTACTTATTGTAGCATGGATGAGATCACACCTTTGTAGTGCAGAGTATTGAATGTATCTTGTAGCAGGGAACAGCCTCTGCCTCAGAGAATCCTTTATTTAAGAGCCAGCACTGAAAAGAAGGAAGAACTTTACTGTTCAGATGGAGTCCTCAGGCAGAGAGAGATGAGCTGACATGTAACAACCATCCAGGAAATCTGTGGCAGAAACTGAGGCACAATGTGAATTCCCTGTGCTGCCATTCTTACCCAGACTTCAGTGTCATCCTCCTCCTCTGCAGGAGGAGCCTTTTACACTGTGGGATATTCAGCTTTTTCTGTGCCAAAAAAATCTCTGAATCCATCCAAGTTTATCAGATCCTCATGACAATTCAAATAGATCATCTAGGGACTGAAATACAAAGGACTATGAACAGAGTAACTCTATTTTTCCATTAATCTAAATGTTCTTACTCTGCAATGCCCTTCACAGAGAGCATGGAGGTTTTTCCTGCCTCTGTCCTCAGCTAACCCAGAAGAAGACTGGTAGCTCTGGTTTTAAAGGTGCTAAAAATTGCTTTATGCATGCCTTTTATGAACACAGCTCTTTAGAACGTGATAAAGGAACCCTCAGGACTTTGCAGGGGCACTGATACTCTCTCCTGACATCATTTATATCTTCTGATAGTTCAGCTCTTCATGTTGGAGAATCCTGTAACGGTCCCAGCTGCCCCCAGGGGCTTCTTGCTGCTTAAATTGTACCCTGTGATACTCAGGGAGGTACTGCAAGATAAACAAAGCTACAGGGCTTTACCACCTTCCCATTTTCAAAGCTTTTCAGTATTTCTTGTTGTGATTTAGTGAACACTCCAGAAGGCAGTGGAACAGCAGAAGCAAAGCCCAACCAGTGGACGTGTAAAGTGTGTTCATCTGCTTTCCAAGAGCCCCAGCTGCTGACAGGTAGGAAGTGCTAGAAATCCACGTGAGAGCAGTGAGGATCATCAGCAGAATTCTGCTCTTCCACAGCTGTGAAGCCACGCACCATCCATGGTGCAGTAAGATTAAAGTTTTAAATTTCCCATTCCTTTAAGGAAAGGAGTAGTAGGGAAGGTAGAACAGGGATATTTTGGTTGTTTTGACCATGGCAGTGTTCAGGCTCTGGACAAACAATTGTGATGTTGAATCAGAAATAAAACTGTGATCTAGAAGATGATGTGACTGTCAGGAAAATCAAGGATAGGGAGTTGCATGAGCAGTGTAAAGGTCAGTGATGCCAGGTTATACTTGGTGATATTGTCCATCTGGTATTTGTGGCACAGATTTAGTAAGGGCAATGAAGTACATATTTCTTTTCTGCATTTCATTTGCAGCTTTTTTATGCAGTTTTCAGAAGGACTTAAAATTGTTTTGGAGCTTTGGCCATTTGATGAATCAATTTTTGAAAAGGGGACTTAAGTCAGTAAATAACTTGGGCATTTGGAAAAATGTACCCATTATTAGAAACACAAACTTTTTACTGTGATATCAACAAATCTCTTTAAAAATTCAGTTCTTTGGACTCTTGAATAAATTGTAGGCTTTGATTTATGAAGGTATTGTGACTGCTTTTGAAATAATTTGAAGTCTCTGCAAAGTGAAATGGACCTAATAGAAGGGCTTCAGCTAGTTCCATTTGAATATTTTAAGGATAATTTTTTCCTTACTCTCCTGTTTTTCCCTATCCACCCAGAGCACTTGCTGAGTCACCTGGAGCAAGCCAAATGTGCCCCTCCAAGCAGCCAAAATGATGCTGAGAAAGCAGAGAAAGCAGCAGAGGCTGTGCCAGCAGATCAAGCAGTGGCAAGTGATGCAGCCAGTGCCAGCACAGACTCGAGGAGAAAGGCCAGGAGGGGAAGAAAAGCTAAAACAGCAAAAGTAGAAACACCTCTTATCATTGATGAAGAGAAAGATTCTGCAGGTAAAACAGAAATCTAGAAAATGCTAAGCAATAAATCTGCTTATACATCTGTGACGATGCCTTTGCAGAAAGGTCAAAAAAGCAGCAGAGACAAGAGGGAGGTTTTTAGTTAGATCACTACAGCTGCCAATTTACAAGTTTTGTTAGTTATTTCTGAGAGCCTTGAAGGCAGCACCCACACTCAGTCACCTGCATTCTTCTGTCCTGGTTTGTACAGAGCCCCAGAGAAACACAGGGTAGTGGTTATGAGAATTGCAAGGAGAGGAAGCATCCTTCCTCTCAAGAGGACAAATCTTTCTCTCTCTACCTCAAGTTTAGTTTAGAAAGGGCTTTACCTTCCTTGAAGAGATGTTCTAATAGGAAATTTCATGATGCTTGGTCAACTGACCCTTCAATAATAGCTTGGAAAGGTAAGAAGTTAGAAGAAGGTGAGATGTCCCTGCCCGTGGCAGGGGGTTGGATTAGATTTTTAAGGGTCCCTTCCAACCCACACTGGTCTATGATTATTTGATTATTTGAATGTGTTTGTGGACATTTGATTTGTCCTGTGCCACATCTTATAACAAATTAGAAGTTTTACTTCTAGCTGTCCATATTACTTCTGTATTTATTTCTTTGGTGTGTGTGCAGTGGAACGTGTGGCTGATGCTGTCACCGAGGTCCCTCCAGAAGATGTGGCCCTGCCTCCAGCTCCAGATGAGAGGATTATGGATCTGGTTCTAGGAAAGATGCCCAGCACCACAAACAGCATCAGCTCAGTGACAAAGTAAGTGTTCTGGGATGCAGAATTTCCTCTTAGTTGTAGCTTAGATGATGTAGCATGCAACAGTTCTGCTCAACTTCTGGGCCCACAGATGCTCTTTTTATCAGCATAAAATTGTGTGATGCTGCTGCTGTTCAAGAGGCGATTTTGAGTGCCACTTGTACACTGGTAGGATTTTGTAACATAACATAAAGGAAAATTTCTTTTTTCATCATGTTACTGCTTTTATTCAGTGTGTTTCCAAAAGCCTCTTGCAGCTGCAAGGTGAAATTTACTCCCATTGAATGTTAGTGATAAGACAGGCAAAGGGATTTTTTTGTTTCAGAATATGTTAATCATTATTATTATTATTCAGTCTTGCTTGTCATCTTAGCTCATGAATGACTTCATGTTGTTCTTGCATGTGATACTCTAGATTTGGAGCAGTAGGAGGGAAACTTGAATATAACAGATCCTCAGGAAGGCTCTTAAGTATCACATGATTAATTTAGATTCTTTTATGTCTTTTTGTCTTGGTAAAATTGGCCTTTTGAATTTTCTTTTTGTATAACAGAGCACTCAATTTTTATGAATTAGCTGGTAATGGTATATATTGAAGTCCCTAGCAGACACAGAGCTGTGAAAAAGGAATTTCAGCAGGTGGTTGTGCTGGGAAATGGCACAGTGCTGCTTGGCACCCTGCTGCCCTCTGCCCAAATACAGCTTTTACGTGGGGGCTGCCAAGCTTCCTAAGCTGAGATAGTGCTGATGTTTTCAGAGCAGAACAGATCCTTTCTGTTCCTCTGAGGGGCCTGAAAAGAGAATCTCTGCTGCTGATTTTTGCCTTGGTAGTTCTGGGTGAGGAAAATTTGGAGTGAGTGACATCCACAGCTTCCAGGGAGTGGCCAGGGGAGCACCCTGGAGCTGGGAAGCTCCATCCAGGCCCCCTCCCTCCTGCCAGGAGCTGAGTTGAACACTCCTCTGGCTTTTGCCAGCTGCTGGAACTCTGTTGCAACCTGTGGGATAGCTTTCAGTCCCTGCCTTTCTCTCTAATCCAGTAGGTTTGCTCATCACCAAAACACCATGTCCCTCAAAAGAAGTTTAATTCTCTCCAGTAGACACGGGATTCGGCGGAAGCTGATAAAGCAGCTGGGGGAGCACAAGAGGGTCTATCAGTGCAGCATCTGCAGTAAGATCTTCCAGAACAGCAGCAACCTCAGCAGGCACATCCGTTCTCATGGTGGGTTGGCTTTTCCCTTGCCTGGGCATTGATTTTATGTCTTGGTTCCACCTTTGAGTTAAAAAGCAGGGCTCGTTTTAGGTATTGGGATATTTATAAGAGAGCTGGTTTTGCTTTTTTCTGTCTTTAAGTCTCTCTAGGAAACTATTTTAATATTTCAGACCAAAGCATGAGAAGATAACAGTGCAAAATTGAAGTTAAAACTGTTTAAAATTTTAATCATCTTTTAAATGAGGGCAAGGATGTGATGTTTTTTCCAAAGCTCTTATTGCCTTTAAATATATACATAAATATCACCCCCACCGACACAAGCACATGGGTAATATAGTTGTAATATGGGTAAAATGTCAGGTGAGTGTTTTTCCACCTGTGATCTGCAGTTCCAGGGGTCTGTGTCCTATTCTAATGGTTCAATGAAAAAATCATCAGTGAAAAAGGGTGGGGGAACTAAACCAAAATTGCTGGAAATGGTTAAAATCCTCTGGTTACATCTCCTGAATTACTGAATTTTTCATCACTAGACTGTTTGTTTGCAGTTGCTTGTGCTTTGGTTTCCTCTGCCTTGCCTGGAGTTGGTTATTATCAATCACTGACTACTTCCCTTTCATCTGGATTGATCCCCTCAGGTGACAAACTGTTTAAATGTGAGGAATGTGCAAAGCTGTTCAGCAGGAAGGAGAGCTTGAAGCAGCACGTTTCATACAAGCACAGCAGGAACGAAGTGAGTGGAAATGGCTCTTGCAGGGTTTGTGTGGAAAGGCACAGTGAGGTTCCAGGTGTGAGCTGGGCAGCTCCATGTGAGCAGGTATCCCATGTGAGTGAGAAAGGACAGAGAGGGGATGTAACATCTTACTTTAGAATAACTGATGAATTTGAAAAGTGTTTTTGAGCAGGTGCAAACCCCTTTCCTATAGAAAATTGCTCTCAGGCATCAGTTCCAGCAAGACAAGCTGGAGTTAGCTGAACCTGCATGATACAGAGGTGACATCTGACTTGAGCTATGCTGCTAAATAGGGTTGTTCTATTCTTGTTTGCTTGTCCTGTTTAATTTCTCCCCACTTATCATTCCTTTCATGTGTGAACTCTGCCTTTGGATGCTGCTGCCATAGAAATATTAAACAGACCTGTAGTGGCACTTTATTAGTGAAAATTTCTGTTGTTACTTGGCACCAGGGTCCTTAACCCTCAGATTGCTGCCATCTCTTCTGGAAGATGAGTCAGGTCACAGCTTGCTTCTCAAACATTGTGTGTCTGTGTTAGACCAGGGGAATACCAGGGAGACTGCTACATCCTCACAGAAGCATAGTCTTTGGGGGTTTTTTATAGCTCAGATGTAGGAATGTGGCAGGATGATACAGCATCAGAATTTTGCACCACTGTGTAGTTAAATGCCCTCTTGAAGGAATAAAGATTAGAAAGGAAACAGAAAACAGAAGAGGTGTGCAAGGTTTAGAATTTCTCTGGCAGATGTGACTTGGCTTTTCCTGTTTGTGACCCTCAGGTGGACAGTGAGTACAGATACAAGTGCACCACGTGTGAAAAGGCCTTTCGGATAGAGAGTGCATTGGAATTCCACAACTGCAGGACAGGTGAGAATGGATAACTCTTCCTCTGGCATCTCTGCTCCATTCTGGGAAGATGTCCCCAAATCCAACTCAGCAGAGAAACTACAGAAGGGGAGTAGGGATTTAGGTTTTTGTCATCATCACAAGAAGCAACCTGTTTTTTTTTATAAGAAAAGTGTAACCAATACCTGTAGAGAAACACATCCACTTAGGAATTAGCTTTTTTTTAGTATATTTGTGAGCAAAGGAAACACCAGTGAGGGTATTACACAGGTGAGCAGGAGAATCATCTGTCATCATCTCTGTTTAACTTTTTTCTCTGAAACTAAGTTCCACCTCACTCCTCTGAAACAGAGGAACTGGAAACAGGAACAGTATTAGTGGTAATTTGCAGTTTTCTGGGATTACAGTTTTATTCAGCTTTCTCCAGCTTTATACTTGCAGTAGTCTCTAAATTTTTTTATCTTAGTATCACTCCAGTCTGTTTTTCTCCCATAGCCATCCCTTGTGGTTACTCATATTATTTATACTGTGATCTTATGCTCAGAAAATGACAGCCTGGTTACCTTTATGGCCCCACAACAATGTTCAGTCCAGGATCACCCAGGTAATTTCCCTTAGAGCACAGGGATGGTTTACATGTTTAAAACCCAGATCCAACAGAAGAGCCACCTGTCTCACAAAAGTATAAAACCTGTTTTCAGCTGTAAAGAGCTACATGGTTCTCTTGCTTACAGATGACAAGACATTCCAGTGTGAGATGTGTTTCAGATTCTTCTCTACAAACAGCAACCTTTCAAAACACAAGAAAAAGCATGGGGATAAGAAGTTTGCATGTGAGATCTGCAATAAGATGTTCTACAGGAAGGATGTCATGCTGGACCATCAAAGGCGGCACTTGGAAGGTAAATTTACTGCAGATCAACCTAATTATTTCTCCTGAAACATCAGTGGAGGTGGGCAGGTTAAGGAAATGATAGTGTGCTTTAGATTCTTCTAGATGTGGGCTGGGTTTTTTTTATTCTCAGTTGCCTGATCAAGAGTTTCAAGTTTCAGCAAAATGTGACATTTATGAAAAATAACAGTAGTGGGTCCAGAGCTATTAATAGCCATAAGCTGCATGGCTTATTATGCAGCAGTTTAGACTGGTTGATTTTAATTATATATATTTCTTCCTTTGCATCCTATTCTTCCTTTTTTTAAAATTCATGTGGTAACTTGAAAATCTGAAGGCAGAGAGTTAACTTGCTGTGTACAGCTGAAAGTGACTACAATATAAATACAGTGTCAGTGGCATGTTATCTTTGAAATGCTTGAGAATATATGAAAAAGAGATTATGAGAGTTTACTGTTCAAAATCTCAAACATCTAAGGATTTTACAGGTACTCAAAGACTGGAAAAATTGGTACATTGCTCAACATGTATTAGAATGTGGTTTGTGGCTTAGATGATAAAACCAAAAGTGATTTTTAAAAAAAGCAGCCAGGTTGTCTATTTTGTGTCATGAACCAGGACAAGGGGCTGTATCACACTGGCAGTGTCTCATTTTTAGCTGTCAAAGAAGAGCAGGAGCCCTCTGCTCTCTGTAAGTAGCAGACAAAAAGGTCTGAAATCCTCTCTGAGCATTACAGCTGGTGCTGGATGGTTGCATCTCTCGTTAGAGATCTCCTCTCCTCTCTTTCTTAGTGAGGGTGAATTTCTGGGCCAGATACCAGATTGAAGTGCCAAGGCCTATGAGATCTGCCTGTTAACTGGTGCTGACAAAAATGCTTTTGACAAGTGTTTTCAGACACTTTACTGTTGTACAGATACTGTACAGTTGTTGGTAACCAGTAAGCCATAACCCATCACTTTGGCAGACTGCTTCTATATTCTTAAAACACACTTTTAATTTAGAAATCACCCTTCTGTTAGCAATTAAACCCTGCATTGAGGCCCTTCCCAGTTGGGGACACCATAAACTATCAAAGACAGTGAAAAAAGGAATTAAGTTTTAGAGGGGGAAGAGAAAATAAGAAGATGCTTTAATAAGCTAAAATATTTTTCTGTTAAAACTATAGAGATGAACAGTAGTGTTCTGAAAAAAAACTCCTTTAATTCATAACAGAGTATATTGAAAAGAATGGAGTGTTTCAAAGTGTAGATTTTGAGCAAATAGTGAAGTAGTTGTGATCCTGTGAGATGCAGGAACAGGGGGGGAAAAGTAATAGTTAAAGATTTGTAGCCTTTAAGAAGCAAAAAAAACCCCTTCTGTTTCCAGAGAAACTCACAAAAACAGATAAAGAAAACTTTTACCTTTGAATAACTCATCCTTAAACTCATTGACCCATAACACACCTCAGAGTGATAGGAAATGAGAAGAAAAAACTGATGACAGAATTTCTGAGCAGCTAGCATCAAAAAAATATTTTTTTCTATGAAAAAAATAGTTTTCTTGTAAAAAACTCCATAAATTAACAAAAGAAAACTTCTTTTTCCCTACAGAAACTGATAAAAAAACTATAACAAGAATTAAGACTGTTTTAACCACCAAAGTTTTTTGTCTCTATGTTGTCATGTAAACAAGAAAATCATTAGGTAGTTAGAGAGAAAAAAGGGTTTCTAAAAGTTTTATTCTGGTTTCTTATTCTTGTAGTTTTTGTTAATAAACTTTCTTTGTTCCTTTTAAGTTTTAAACCCATTTTACTCTTGTTATAATCCATGTCTCACAACAAAAAAGAATTAAGTTTTCTAGTGATTTTTTAGTTACTGCTTTAAAACCACAACACCAGTGTTTCACTCTTCTTCCCAGTCTCCTCCTGAAAAGGCCTGCAGGCTGGAGTGGAAAGCCATGGTTTATTTCTTGTTTTGTTTTTTTGTTGATGGGAACTGTTGTGTTAAGGGGTGAGGCGTGTGAAGAGGGAAGACTTTGAGCACAGCACGGAGAACATGGTTCGCTACAAGAAGGAGCCCTCGGGGTGCCCTGTGTGTGGGAAGGTAGGAGCTTGTGCCAGGTGTGCCATCAGAGGCTCTGCATTGTCCAGGGGTGCTGCAGTTCAGCCTGGAGAGGACAATACTGGGGGGATCCATCCATGCATTTAAATACCTCCAGGGGGTATCAGAGGGGGTGCCAGACTCTTTCTGGTGCTGCTCAGCAATGGCACGAGGAGCAGTGGCCATAAAATAAAACAAAAGAAGTTTCACCTGAACATGGGGAAGAAATCCCTCACATTGAGGGTGGCTGAGCTCTGGAACAGCTGTCCAGGGAGCATGTGGAGTCCAGTTAGGACATTCCTCTTCAAACACCAATAGCTCTATTATTTATCCAAGCCCACTGTGGCCATGGATGGTGGGAGCTGTTAGCACAAAGATAAGAGCAGAAGTGCATTTCAGGCCTGGACTTGTACAATGTAGAGTGTCACATGGCCACTGTGTGTGTCAGTGGAATTTCATGGCTTGTGTTATTTAAAATGGAATTTTTCTGGCCGGTTGTAAACAGCTGGAGTTGACTGTGTGCATTGGGAATCCTCTCCCATGGGGAATAAAAGTGAATTCGTGGTGTAATCATGGCATGGTTGCATTTGAATGCTCAACACTCATGATCTTAAGTCACTGATGTCACAAGGAGTGTGGGTTTAAGTTGTGATTTTATAAATGTTTAATGATTCATGGTGAAAAATGTATTCAAGAAGTCTTAAGCTGCTGTGTAGACCTCTGGTTTTGATGCTTTGGGTATGTTTCATATCAGTCAAGATAGATTTTGTGGCTATGTCTTTATTTAGGGATTGAATATTTGTGATTCAAAAGACATTGTCTAAATATTTCAAATTCTGCTCTATGTAATTCTGCTGGAGCTTGCTTTGGAAGTCCACCCCTGACAAGTGGCTAGTTTCAGCCGGTTCCTTGGAGCTGTGCCCCTGGATTTTGCCATGCCAGCAGTTTGGAGGCAGACTGCTGGCTGGCTAACAGGAGCTCCTGCATGCTTCTGGCCAGAATGAATAAAAAAAGACAGTAAATGTGTTCTGTGCTCTCCATTGGACAGCTTGCAAAGAACTGTAGCCCTGCTGGATGTGATCCAAAAATCCTTCTTTCTCTTTTCCTTTAGGTATTTTCATGTAGGAGCAACATGAACAAACACCTTCTAACACATGGAGACAAGAAATACACGTGTGAGATCTGTGGACGTAAATTTTTCAGGGTGGATGTGTTGAGAGATCATATTCATGTCCATTTTAAGGTATCATGTTAATAATCAATTGGAGCAGGCAGATTGTTTTGCCAACACTGAATTGTAAGCAATTAAATGAAATTGAAAGGGAATTGTATCATTCAGTGGTGCTCATAAAGATGCTTTTATTGATGTCACATTGTACCAGCAGAGTCTCTTTACATTCAAATTCCTTTTATGTGCAGAAAAATTAATATTAGTTGTTCAAATAAGTTATTCCTTGTGTGGTCCTGGACAGAGAAACTCTGGATTGAATGAAGCAGGAGGATATTAAATAAATAATAAATAATACTACAACAGTTAATGCAAAGCAGTCTGTTTTGGTGACTTTATTTTTGAATTTATTAAAATATTAAAACAAAATATTCTTTCCCACTCTACACAGGACATAGCCCTGATGGATGATCACCAGAGGGAAGAGTTCATTGGTAAAATTGGAATCTCATCAGAGGAAAATGACGACAACTCTGATGAAAGTGCAGATTCAGAGCCTCACAAGTATAGCTGCAAAAGGTGCCAGGTAGCTTTAAATACTTTCAAATTAACTTGTTTTGGCATGGGGGAGGGAGTGGGGGTGTCTATAAATCATTCAGAATTTTAAGTAACATTAAGGGTTCTCAAGGAGAAGACCAGTTTTCATGTCTGATGTCTTCTGCAGTGCTGTTACCTCTGATCTGTGAACTGAGGCTATTCCATAAGAATTGAGGTGGTGTCCAGTAAGGAGGATGATAAACACTTAAAAAAAGGAAAGACAGATACATTGACTTTTTCCTGTGAGGAAGAAAACAAGCAAAATTAGAGGAAGGATCAATAAAGGAGCACTCACATCTCAAACTAACTTTTAATTATGTGCAGCTTAAAATGGTTACAGCATTTCTGATTGATAAAGTCCACAAATTGATTAATTTTTATGAAGTCAAAAGGTTCATTAGTGGTTATCCAGTTCAGGGGATTAAGACTGCTGCTTATGTTCAGTGACTGCTTATTCTTGCCCTACTCCTGTACAAACAGGATGGTGTTGGAAGTGCTGCAGGAACATAGCTCAGTTGTCAGCTGAGAGAGGAAGGCTTTTTAAACCTCTCACTGTGTGGCTTTTGCCATTTTCTAAAGAAATGACATGTTCTTAAAGGCTCTGTGTCCTTCCTGGGTGAGCACACAGTGCTGGGACAGGTGGGATGCAAAACCAGTCAGTGAGAACAGCAGAACTGACCCAGGGACAGGGGGTTTTAGATTGTTCAGCTGCTGAATTGATCCATGGAAATCAGAGCTTATTTCACAGCCCACACTTAAAGTGGTGAAAGTTCTTACTTTATCTTCATTTTAAGACCTGGAGATAATAATATTTCAATTTTCTTACCTGGGAACTGGTTTCAAGTGCAAACTGATTTTGGTTTTTTTTGGGTTTTTTTGTTGGTAAACATGTGAAGGTGTGGTGTCACAGCAGTTCATCATGTGCTTGCTTTCACTGTGCTGATTTTCCTGCCTGACACTTCATGGATACATAAACTACATAAAATTATGTGCTTCCAAGTGAGGGCAGTTGGGCCATTCACATCAGAAAGATCTTTTTGGAACTTGGGTTTTTTTTTAGTTCTTTTGCAGGTATTTGTGAAATAAACAGTTGTGTAAGGGAGCAGCTGTGGGAAATGGGGTTTGATGTCAGGAGATGGGAACACTGAACAGCCAAAGAGAGAACATCTTGGAGAAATCTCTCTTCTGAGCTCTTGAAAAATCTGTTTTTCTGGTCTCAAAGTACCAATGTTCACCAAGCTGTGCAGTGCTGTTAGAAATGCCCTCACTAGTTCCAAAATTGGAGCAAAAGACCATGTCATTTTGGCACTTCCCCTGGCATGCTGAAGCATGTATGGATATGCTGGAGCACATCTGGATGTGCACATCTGGAGCTCAGTAGTGCAGCATCTGTCTGTTGTAGCTGCAGCACTTCCAGGAGCTGAGCCAGAGTCACTGCCCTGCAGTGCCTGGGAATTCCAGCCCTTCAGGAGCTGCTGCCAAAGCTGATGGTGCAGGCAGGAGCTCACCATGCCCCTGGAGCCCAGCAGATGTTTTCTCCATCTCTGGTGCCCTCAGTCTTACAGAATCACAGAATAAGCTGAGTTGGAAGGGACCCTCAGGGCACACTGAGTCCAACTCCTGGCTCTGTGGAGCCCCAAGAATCCCACCCATGTGCCTGAGAACATTGTCCAAACGCTCCTTGAGCTCTGGCTGCTGTGACCAGAACCTGGGGAGCCTGTTCAGTGCCCAGCCACCCTCTGGGGGAAAAACCTTTTCCTAATATCCAACCCAAACCTGTCCTGTCACAACTTCAGGCCATTCCCTGGGGTCCTGTCACTGTCACCACAGAGAGAGATCAGTGCCTGCCCCTCCTTCTGCCCCTGTGAGCAAGCTGAAACTGCAGTGAGGTCTCCCCTCAGTCTCCTGCAGGCTGAGGAGACCCTCAGTGGCTCCTCACAAGACTTCCCCTCCAGACCCTTCACCCTCCTTTAGACATTCTCTGGTACTTTAATGTCCCTATACTGTAGTGACCAAAACTGCTCACAGTACACAGGGTGAGCTGGTGGAGCTTAAAGGTGGCTGTTCCTCAGTGCACAAACAACTGTAGGTCCTCTTGTTGTGCAGAGGTGGAAACACCATCTCCAGCTAGAGAAAAGAGTGAATTGATGCTTGTATTGTCCAAAGAGTTTGAGGCCTAAATCCGGTTGTCACAGGTTTTTCATCTGCAGCACACGGGATTTTAGTGGTACACGGGATATTGATGTCTGCTCAACGTTACACAGTCGTTGTCGTGCCGAGGATGTTTTTCCCCCTTCCATTCACTATTGGTTCATTCCCCAGCTGACCTTTGGCAGAGGGAAGGAGTACCTGAAGCACATCATGGACGTGCACAAGGAGAAGGGTTACGGCTGCAGCATCTGCAACCGGCGCTTCGCCTTGAAGGCCACGTACCACGCGCACATGGTCATCCACAGGGAGAACCTGCCCGACCCCAATGTGCAGAAGTAAGGCTTGTTCCACTGAGAAGAGCTGTCTGCTTGGAGTTCTAATGGTTCTGCCACCTGGGGTCCTCTTAGAGAATTTGGCTGTGCTGAAAGAACTGTGAAATGGGGGTTAAAATGTTATTTACAAGCTTGAAATGCGTGTCTCTGGTGGTTGGCTTCACACAGATTGATGAGTCAGCAGCCCCCCAGTTTGGCCTTTGCAAAGTATAAAACAATGATTTTAATAAATGTTTTCTGAAAAAAAAATGAGTGTTTAGCAATGCCAGACTGCTCCAAGCTTGCAGTCAACTTGGGGGTTTCTTAAGGCTCATTTAGCAAAACTTGTGCTTCAAGGAACTTTTATAGTAATTAGTATCAGCAAACAAAATACAGTTAAGTGACAGAGATGCCTGAGAGAATCACCTCTGCCTCAAGAGAAGAATCACAGTTTTTGGTCTCTTTGGTTTCAGATACATCCATCCATGTGAAATCTGTGGGAGGATTTTTAACAGTATAGGAAATCTGGAAAGACATAAGCTTATACATACAGGTAAAAATGTTGTGTTTCTTAATCAATACTAAAGAGAAATTGCTGTTGCCAGTGCCTGCCTTTTTTTATTTATTTTTTTTTTTTTGGCCAGAGGATTTTCATTCTACATTACAACAAGACAAATAGAATATTTATTCTTTTATAGTAAACCAGTTTTCTAAAGCAGGTAATATTAATAAAGACATTTGATCTGGACACACAATCCAAATTCCTAGTTAATATGTTTGCAGGATTCACCTAATTCTGTATTCTGTTCTTCTCCAAATTCTTATCCATGCCACCTTCTCACCATTACACAGGCTGAAACCTGCTACTGCAAAATCATTTTTAACAGCTCATTACTATTTCATGCTATTCAGTCTTCTCCTACCTCAGGCTTTATCTTCTTTTTCTCACACAAAAAGCCAGCTTTTCTCTCTCTTCAAAGTCCTCTAATTTAATTTGGGCTCCAATATCCATGAAAGGTGTGGTTGTCAGCATAGGTGGGCTGTTGCCCTCTAATTCACCACTTTAATCAATATTTAGGAGATGCACATTACTCATTAACATTTTTTTTTTGTTTACGTTGTCTTTTAAATTTATTTTCAAGGTGTAAAAAGTCATGCTTGTGAGCAATGTGGCAAATCATTTGCTAGAAAAGACATGTTAAAAGAACATATGCGAGTCCATGATAATATCCGAGAATACTTGTGTGCAGAGTGTGGCAAAGGTATGTCTGATGCCTTGTTTTCCATTCATTGTGATACTGAGTAGCAGGTGAATATTTGAATTTAAACAAGTTCTGTGCTGAGAGGTAGAAAATGTATTAACCAGGTGCATTATGGTTACATGAGCTGCCCTAATTTTGTAGTTTGGTTTCATGGCCTGTAAGACAACACTGATTTTAGTAGCATTTGTTTCTGTCAGGTTAAGGAATGCCTGATTTGCAGCACAAAAGTGAGTGGAAGTTGATTTCTTTCATTCTGGGCTGTTTACAGCTTAAAAAATAGAGTAATTTCTCTCTGTAAGAGCCTTAAGAGTCAAAGTCACTTCAGCTTTTTTAATTTCTCGTGTTATAACTTGAACAAATCTGAGCTGGTATTTTAGTGAAAGGCAGTCTGACACCTCTAAGGATGTTTTATCTTTGCTTGTCCCTGCTGTTTTGTTTGTCTATCAGTGATCACTCAGATGTTTTCCAGAGCTTTTTTTCCCTGGAATTAAAATAATAATGATGAAGTGCATTGCTACATAAACAATTAAAAACACACAGCAGTGGACTCACAGCAAATATAAAATAGAGCTGTTGGTTAACAACACGAGCCTGTGTTGTCCCCTGAAGGTGGGAATGATGGACTAAGTGTCCTGTGCCTTCTGTCTCACAGGAATGAAGACAAAACATGCCCTTCGTCACCACATGAAGCTTCACAAAGGGATTAAGGAATACGAGTGCAAGGAATGTCACCGAAAATTTGCACAGAAAGTCAACATGCTGAAGCATTACAAGAGACACACAGGTGAGGACTTCAAAGACAGACAAAAGTTGCACTGAATCAATTAAATGTTTCCCAAGAGAACTCTTGCCTAGAACAGCCAGACAGTATGACAAAAACTATTAAAATATGCGTGTTCTGCTCTTTGAAAAGTGAGATTTTGTCCTGTTCTCAGCCAGGACCGCTTGTTCTACAGATAAATGCAGTTTAGTTGGTTTCAAGGTTTGCTTTTTTTTTTTTTTTAGGTTCTTGGTCTAGGGTAGCTCTACAGTGTTGGGTTTGTTTTAAGTTAGTGTTGGGTTTGTAATTTCCCAAAACAAAATCTTACTTCCCACATCTGTTTCTCTGGGATTTATTTTCTGCTGGATACAGTGGAATGGATTAGATAAAAATAGCTGGTGAAGCTGCGTTTCTGCCTTTTTTTCCTGTGATTTAGGTTGTTTTTATGTTACTAATACAAAACTCAGAATTGTCACAGATACCTTTAGGCTGTTTGCACAGGTGCCAAATGTGCTTTTCTTGCAGGAATCAAAGATTTCATGTGTGAGCTCTGTGGCAAGACGTTCAGCGAGAGAAACACAATGGAGACTCACAAGTTGATTCATACAGGTAAACCCTCTAAAAAACAGTATCCAGCACAACTACCTTAATTTTGCTCCTTAATTTTAATTTAGACTGGCCAATCTTGGAACTAATGTTGCACATCCTATTACCAAACTGTGCAGTTACCTAAACCACTACCCAAACCCAAGCTGTTGCTCTGGTCGAGGCACTGGCAATCTGATGCTCACCCACGGGCTTTCCTTCCTTCCCTCTGCCACCAGTAGGAAAACAGTGGACGTGTTCAGTGTGTGATAAGAAGTATGTCACTGATTACATGCTGCAGAAGCACATCCAGCTCACCCATGACAAGGTGGAAGCCCAGAGCTGTCAGCTGTGTGGAACAAAAGTTTCTACCAGGGCGTCCATGAGTCGACACATGAGGCGTAAACACCCAGAGGTGAGGGAGTTTCAGTGGAGGATTGTGGAAATTTTTATTAATTTTTCTTTGAAAGAATGTTTATGGCCTTTGGTGACTTGAAAGGAATTTCTTTCCTCTTCTCTCTCTTTTTTTTTTTTTTTTCTGTTCTTTTCCCCAGTTTTAAGTAGTGAAACATGGACTTAACTAAATCAGCCATTTTATTATCTGATTCTCAGTCCCTAAAAATTAAGTTCTTCTGATTATTTAAATCTGCTTTATTTTTCTGCCCTGGCTGAAATACATGTTTTTGTCATGTTTTGTGTCCATCCATTAGTGAGTATAATTGATTCTTTTTTCCTCATTGTGTTTTCTATATTCAGAAGTGATCTGAAAGAAGTGGTGAATAGAGAGGTGATGAGAGCATCTGCTGATGATACAAAATTATTCTCAGTGTTAGAGATGAATGCTGACTGGAGAGAATCCGGATTAGAGGGGTGTTTTGTCTGCCTCCAATGTTTTTTTTTCTGTGTTCTAAATATTGTGTTTCTCCTCAGCATTTCTTGTTTAGGTTTGACAAAGGCTTGTCTGTTCCCTTTGAAGCTTTTTAAGATTTTTTTAACTACCAATTTTTCATTAGCATTGCTTTGCTGTTTTATCATGATGACTGGGAAGGAAGTCAACAAAATGATTTGTTTATTGATTTGGGGATTTCAAATGCAGCTACATATCTGAAATCCAGAGGACACTTTGTCTCTGTTCTTTGATGAACTGTGATGTGTAGATTCATCTGAAAATAATGAAGTAGGACACAGTTGATAGGTTTATAAATTGAAATGCTAACATAATACTTTTTTTTTTCCAAACACGTTGTTCTGTGTAGAATTCATCACTTCCCAGAGGGTTATGTTCTGTCTAGAATATGAAAATAGACATGTTCTTTTACTGTGTTTAGATATTGCTGGATTTCAGCAGGAGGGAAAAGACGATATGCCAAGAGGTTATTTTAAAAAGCCACAGTTAAGTCTCTGTATTAAATACTATTAGATTACATCACTTTTGCTTGGTGATGGGGTTTGTTGGGGAAGGGCAGTGCATTTGCCTGTGGTCAGTTCTGCAGCTGACACCTCTTGGTGTTCAGATTCTTTCAGTGAGGATTGATGATTTAGAGCCGATGCCAGAGACGACCACCATTGATGCCTCTTCAATTGGGATTGTTCAGGTGAGTTCCTGCTGCAGGGTGAGGTGGGACATCACTTTTTGGGTACATAACATAGCTGGGCGTGGGCTGATGGGTGAGGAATGTGCTTTTTTAGAGAGTCAGCCCCAGTGGAACATGTCCAAGCAGTCACAAGCTGCTGATCTGCTTGGTTGTATAACAGGCAGAATGTAATTACAGGGTGAGGTCTCAATCCCTGGAGTCAGGATTTTGCTAAAGTTTGTTTTTTTGCTTGAGAACTGACAGTAAGCCAGCTTCAGGTGATTGTCTCTTACTTGGAACCTCACTAAGCAAAAGGAGTTGATGTTTTGTTTGGAACTGTATTGCTGCAGCCGGAATTAGCCTTGGAACAGGGTGAACTACCAGAGGGGAAGCAGCACGTAAAAACTCCTAAACGTGGCCAGAAACAAAAACAGAAGTCAGGTGAGGAGGAGGAAGCTCAAGTGCCTGAGGACCCTGCCTTCAGTGAATACACAGAGAAGGAAGGTGAATTCACAGGGAATGTTGGAGATGAGACTAATTCAGCTGTACAGAGCATCCAACAGGTGAGCTGCAGGAGCAGAGTGATGGATGGCATTGCTTGGAGGGGTAACCCTTCTTTTGGTTAAGAAACATCACAGAAGTGGTTGGAACATTTGGAGCTGATTGGATAAATTGTGGTTATACAAAGATGGGTTTAAAGACCCAAGAAGTTGGACCGATAAGCTCCTCATGTTTGCTTTCATTTCCTCTGGTGTTAGCATCAGTTTGCTAGATATCACTAACTGGCTGAAGCTGTGATTAAAAGAGTGAAAGTTAATTGGGCTGTTTGTTCTGAATGTCACCTATCCCTCTCTCCCATCACCATCTCTACACGTGGAAGTTGGTACATCCCAAGTTTCCTGCGTTCCCATCTGCTTGTGACTTCTCTTGCTGGCGAGGTGTGAGCCCACCAGCTCTTCCCTGGTGTTTGATGGTCAGTTGGAAGCTACAAGGCTGAGGTTCCCTTTGTGTTTCTCCTCAGGTGGTGGTGACCCTCAGCGACCCAAACGTCACAGCCCCCTCCAGCTCCGTGGGGCTCACCAACATCACCGTCACCCCCATCACCACGGCAGCCGGCAGCCAGTTCACCAACCTGCAGCCCGTGGCCGTGGGCCACCTGAGCGCCCCGGAGCGCCAGCTGCAGCTGGACAACTCCATCCTGACCGTCACCTTCGACACGGTCAGCGGCTCGGCCATGCTGCACAACCGCCAGAGCGACCTTCAGCTGCCGCCGCAGCCCGAGGCGCCCAACCCCCAGTCCGTGGCCCATTTCATTAACCTGACCACCCTGGTGAACTCCATTGCTCCCCTGGGGAACCAGATGACAGAACAGCACCCCCTGAGCTGGAGGTCAGTGCCTCAGACTGATGTCCTGCAGCCGCCGGCGCCGGCCGCGCCGCAGCAGCCGGGCCAGCAGCCCGTTCCCACAGAGCAGCAGCAGCAGCAGATGTACAGCTACTAATTTATACCTGGGGAAGTGCTGGCATGGACAGTGCTCAGAGACACACAAAAAAAAAATAAACCCCACACAGACCTTTGGAAAATTTCTAATAGGATTGTTTGCTGGATACCAAACAGAGATGGGAAAATGTTTATACGTTGAAATTTAAGCTGAAATTGGCAGATCACCCTGCAACACCCTGGTCTGAGATTCTCGTGCAGTCTTTAGACCTTGCACTGTCTTAAAAAAATAACAGGGAAAAAAAACCAAAATCTCACCACAAATTTAGCAGCCCCTTGCAGTTGTGCACTAGGATTGAGATTTGACAGGTGCATCATCACGCACCTTAACCACAGCAGGGAAATCCTAAATTTTGCGGCACTTGTGTGCATCACTTTGTGATGTACAAAAAATCCTTTCAGCCATACCGTGTCACTTCTTTCCAAGTCTGGAAATGACATCTGAAGACCTTGTTCACAGTGGGTGGAATGTCCTTGTGGTCAGCTGGAAAAGACTGAAATGTGAAGACACAAAGGGGCAAAACAAGAATTGTCTTTGTTTCTTATCTTCTTTAAGTCTTGTATCTAACAACATCGGTAAAGTAGGTGGAATTTGGGGTTTTGGGGTGGGCATGAGTGTGGTGTGGAAGAAAATATTACCAATTATTTCCATTTTAGTCATGGGAAAAGCCCTGTACCCATCAGACAGTGTTAGTGCTACTTGAGCCAGAGAGCTGGGCTAATGCTGAAGCAAACTTCTATGGTTTTCTAGTCAAGTTTCAATCAAACCAATTACAAACTGAAAGAAGAATGTGATACAGTTTTATGTAATTTTTCAAACCTGCTCTTTCAATCTTGCTTTTAGCTAATAGGCCTGAAGAGCAATTAGTCCCCTTTGATGAAGTTCAGGATGTGAATTTTTTTCAATTAGACTTATTACATCGTGTAATAAACATTTGAGAAAGCATTCTTTTTATATATATATACATATACATATATATATATATAGCCTTTGTATTTTACTGTGTGTTCCTGGTGAATATTTGTGTGAAAAACACTGTTACCAACACGATCCATGAATTTTTTCATGCCCATGTTGCCCCTTCTCATGGAAAAAACATATGGCTTCTGTTCCTTCTGTTTCCAAAATTTATTTCCCAAGTTCACAGCCACACACAAGGTTGTGTGAAGTGCAAGAAAAAGGAATATCTGAAGCATATTCTGTGTCCTGCCACATGGAGTCAGTGTGCCCCAGTGTATAATGGGTGAGGTTTGCATGACTGCTGGGGATGCAAATTGTGGGTTGGTCAAACACATCTTTGCTGACAGTGCCCCTTCATTTCATTCTCATTTTCATCCATGGATGTGCAGTCTGGACTTTTGCATGTCAAAAAGATAGTATTATTCCCACAGGGAAAATGAGCTGATGGCAAAAAGGAATAAACTAAATATATATATGTATATATGCATATATATATATATATAAAAAAAAAATTTTGTTGCTTGGAATCCTGAAGGGGAAACCCAGCTGTGGCTGAAGAACAAGGTCCTTTGGGGCAGCAGACTGAGCCACAGAACTTGCTGAAGGGTTTTTTTTTTCCTGAGGATGAAGCAGCTGCTGTGTCTGACAGTGAGGATGGATTGGTGGTTGTATAAATCCTGTCTGTGCCTATGGTATTTATGAAAAAGTTGTATGTTTTAGCAAAAATATGAGTAGGAACGACTTCAGCTTTGAAAGTCTCTATTAACACGGACTACTTCACCCCTAAAGGTTGCCTTATAATCTCTACAACAAATTCTCCCAAAGTATAAATGTCTGGATATTAAAATGAATCTCCAGTGGTTTTCTTGGTGCTGTGGCTGTGGCCAGAGGCTTGGTATAGCAGGCTTTGTGTAAAGCTGCAGGACATGGATTGGAAAGGGATTTCTGGGGACAGATTTTGTGTGTCAGAAGAGCAGAACTGTTTTTATTTAAATGTCATCTGGTCCATAAAATACCTGCATGAGAGGGACCAGTATTTGATGGGACAGGGATGCATATCAGAAAGAAAGGAACCTTTCAGCAGTGTGGGAAAGAGAATTTTTCATTCCCTACCCACTTTTGTCTTCCTTAGGTACTTCTCACACAAATACTCTAAGATCCTGTAATTTTTTTGGCCTCCTGACATCCTGAGTACAGTTCCTGGATTATTTCACCACTGCCTTGAGCTAGTTCAGTTTCTCCTCAGCTGTCCTGTCCACAAATGCTTGTGTTTCACACCAAACCACTGGGCAAGAGGAAGCCAGGTTTTATTTATGAAATATATTGTTTATGTACTTGAAACTTTTTTTTTCCCCCCTGTGTTTGGTGCCTAATTGGTAAAGGCACATTATCTTTTGGCAGGGTACTATGGAAAAAGGGGAAAAAACGGGAAGGAAAGCAAATGGAGAGCTCCTAGGTTGAGTTGTTGTGGTAAATACAGAATTTTTACACAATCAAAGTGTTTTTGAGACACATAAATAGTGATTAGGCTTGTAATTGGGGAGGAAGAGATTTTTTTGCCTTAGCAGAGCAGATGAACTCTTGATACTGACAGTGGCATTTGTGCTGCATTGAATCAATCTGCATCATTTTAACACTTAATTTCCTGTTTGATAAGAGGAAATCAACCTTTAGAGATCTCTCTGGCTTCACAAAATCTCTACCCTAATGTGATACCCTGGTCTTCTGTGGACTCTTATGGGGTTTGGCATCCCTTCTGTGCTACCTGGCCTCAATAACCTCACCCAGGCAATGGGATCTTGCCTTTCTGGCAGTGATTCCAGGTGATTTTAGAAGGAATGTTCCCTCAGTAAGTACTTGCATGCTGGTTTTCATTTGGAAATGTCCCTCTTCAATTTCTCAGCATCCCCAAAATCATAGAACAGCCCAGGCTGGAAGGCACCTCAAAAGATGATTGATCTGGTCCAGCCTTTTTTTGGGGGAAAGGGAGCATAGGTGAGGTGATGGAATCATAAAATCACCATTAACCAGCATCCTGTCTAATTGCCTCTTTTAAATCCAGAGTGACACAACTCTGGGAAGGTTCTTGTAGTGGGTGATTGTTCTTCCTGTAAAAATTACCTTAAATAATGTTCAGGAGAGGAAAATACAACCACTGGGAAGGCTTTGGTTAGGCCAGGCAATAGAAAGCTCTCTAAAAGTTGATCTTCCCAGAGCACTCCTTTGAGATGGTGCCTCATCACCTCCCAGCATGGTTTATTATTACTCCTGTTATTAACATCCCTATGAGAAAACAACTGTATCTTGGGTGTGCTGCACCATGGGGAACAAAAAAAAAATCCAAAACAAATTACTCTGTTTGCTTTTTGTTTCAAATTGTTTTGTTTGGAGATGTTGGAAATTGCTGCCTTTTCAGACAGAGCTTCCCTTGGACAAGCAGCAACTGCTCTCCCAACTAAGCCTTTTCCAGGTGAATACCAAAGTTGTACTGATGCTGTTTTCAAACTGCATAAGAAATAAAACCACTCCATAAGGGATGTGCAATCTAAATTTCCTCTGCCAATTTGTTCCTTGCCTTTTCAGCTGTAGGATGTGAAGGCTTTATTGTTTTCAGCCACCTGTTGGAGGTTTTTGCATAACAACTGTTCAGTCACAAACTGGAATTACTTTGAGCCAAAGGAGTGATGTTGTGTGGTGTTCTGTGTATTGTCATTGTTTATTGCTAAGACTATTATTTAATTGAATGCTGTCTGTGGCACACTGGGCTCTGAAGTAAAGGAGCATCGAGGTACAGAATCCTTTCTCTGCCAGTGTTATTCTTTACTGTTCCTTAATTAAGATATTATTAGGATAAACATATTTTTTCCTTCCCATCTCTCATATTTGCCTCAAAAGAAGGAAGATTAACCCTCATCCCGTGAAACCTTGTACATCCCAAATTATGGAAACACGGGGTAGCATTTTAAAATATTTAGAATCTAAAATATTTATTCTGTAGCTTGTTACTGGTAATAACAGAGAGCAGAAGAGATTGCATCTTTCATAGTTTCTGTGCTGAGTTCTCTCAGGAGAACTGACTGTATCAAGTGTTACTACACTTTATAAAACCCCCTTTTTAACTGTGTCTTTGTGAAAAGTGAGTATTTTTGCAGAAACCCTCCAGCCAGTCTCCTGGCAGTCTAACCAGCCACATTTCTGTACTCTTATTGTTCCAGAGATTGTCTGAAGTTAACTTCCAAGTAACACTTGGATTTATTTCAAGAACTGAATTCCCTGCCAGTTTGTCAGTGATTTGTTCTGTATACACAAAGATGTCTCAGTTTCTCATCTGGAAAACCAGGAATGGAATAAATTCCACACACCCAAGTGCCAGTCATATCCAAACTATAGGTACCCCATGCAAATGGGGTAAATACCTTTGTGAATTCTTGGCCAGTGATGAGATTTCCCTGGTGCTGTTTACAGTAATAATAATGTCACTCCTGATTCCTTTTGGCCTGACATTTATTATTGATTTGGGTGTACCTGTTGGAAACTCTAACTCTTGTATTCTTGACCCTCTCACTGTTGGCCTCATCTGTAAAAGGAGATGAATATGGGAGGAGGATCTGCTCATCCACACCACGATGCACAGCAAAGCTCTGAAGTTTTGGGAATGACATGCAGCCAAGTGACTTGAACCTCTGAGGTTCATTACCAAGGTTTGTTTCCATATAGAAGTTGTTGGTTTTATTTTGTTTGTTTGGTTTTTTTTTTGCTACAGCAAACCCAAAATCCCATGATGGCAGCAGGATAAAGGAAAAAATATATTTCTATCATGTTTCTCTTCAACCTGACTGTTTTGAGTATTGATTTTGCACTGTTCATGGCAGGAAGCTGTTAAAAAATCCGTGCAGCCATGGTTGGAAAGGATGTTTCTTGCCCTAAGATGCTTTGAGAAAGCTCTTCTGGATTTATTTTTCCTCCTGGGTGCTGCAGGGCTGTTCTGCATCTGTGCTGCTGCTCTCAGTTCAGACAGGATTCTGCAGTAGAATCTTAAAGCACAGAATGGCTCTGTTTGGAAAGGACCTTAAAAATCATCCAGTGCCACCCCAGCCATGGCAGGGACACCTCCCACTGTCCCAGCTGCTCCCAATGTCCAGCCTGGCCTTGGGCACTGCCAGGGATCCAGGGGCAGCCCCAGCTGCTCTGGGCACCCTGTGCCAGGTCCTGCCCACCCTCACAGGGAAGAATTTCTTCTTAATACCAAACCTAACCGTACTTTCTTTCAGTTTAGAGCCATTTTTCCTTCTCCTGTCACTACATACCCTTATAAAAAGTCCCTTTCCAGCTCTCCTGCACAGCTGATGATGGCTGAAACGCTGGATCACTCATCCAAAGAGCCCAAACTCACTGTTGCTAAATTTCCAATATCTGAGCAGAAAGAGTCCTGGAGATTTCAGTGTCACTCCCAGAGGAAGAATTCTGTCAACATTTGGGGTGTAATGCCCTTGTGTTCCTGCTTTATCCAGGAGCTGTGCTGGCCAGTTACAGTGCCTGGTTAGATGCTAGCACTTTGGAAAAGCTGATTGTTGGGTGCAATGGCTGTAGAGCAGCTGATAGGAAAAGCAAGAGAAACTACTGGGTTTGGAAGTTTATTTCATTTAAAACCAAGTTTTTCAGTCCTAAAATCTTTGCTGTCACTCGAGTGCTTTCCTGTGTTTTTACTTGCAGGTTTTGATCCTAGAAGGTTTTTAAGGTGTCCCAGAAGTGTAGGAGAAAAAAAAAAGAAAAGGAAAGAAAAAAAAAAAAGGAAGAAAGTAGGAAAAGAAAAGGAGTAGTAATGGCAGAATGAGGAGTTAAAATCAGGAGAAACAAGTGATGCTCATTTTCTACAGATTCCCACCCTTCTCCTGCCCACCTGAGCCTTAGGTTCCTGCTGTGATGGATGGTGGAAGCTCAGGGAAGGAGGCAGCACAAGCTCTGGCTCGTTTGCCAGAGCTGTGGGTCGGGATTGACGTGCAGGGTGTTGTTAATGAGAGCAGACACCAGCTCTGCCAGCCTGCCTTCCCCTCCAGCCACGTGCTCATCTCAGTGCCTGTCCCAGCACAGCTTTGCACAGAGCTCAGGGGAACCTCAGAGTCTCCAGGACTTGGATCTTTCATGTTTAGTGAGTGTAAAATCTCAGAATCCTTTTGGGCTGGAAAGAGATCATTGAGTCCAAGCTGTGCCTGATCCCCACCTTGTCCCCAGCCCTGAGTGCCACATCCAGGTGACACCTCCAGGGATGGGGACTCCACCACCTCCATGGACAGCTCTTCCAGTGCCTGACCATCCTTCCTGTGAAGGAATTCTTCCTGATGTCCAACCTGAGCCTCCCCTGGCACAGCTGGAGGCTCTTGTCTTATTCCTTCTTATCACAGAATGGTTTGGGTTGAAAGGGACCTTAAAAACCACCCAGTGCCACCCCAGCCATGGCAGGGACACCTCCCACTGTCCCAGCTGCTCCCAATGTCCAGCCTGGCCTTGGGCACTGCCAGGGATCCAGGGGCAGCCCCAGCTGCTCTGGCAATTCCATCCCAGCCCCTGCTCTGGCAATTCCATCCCAGCCCCTGCCAGGGAACAATTCCAAGATCCAATCTAAACCTACTCTCGGTTTGTAGCCATTCCCCCTTCTCCTGTCGCTCCAGTTCCTCGTGCATTGTCCCTCTCCAGCTTCCCTGTAGCCCCTTCAGGCACTGGAAGCTGCTCTGAGGTCTCCACACAACCTTCTCCTCCCCAGCCTGAACAGCCCCAGCTTTCTCAGCAAGAAAGGGATTCAAAACTGGGGGGAAAGAGGGGCCTGAGGGGCAACGAGGCACATTGGAAGCCCAACTAAAAAATGTGTGAGAGAATGCAAGCTCAGCCTGCTGTGCTGAACTGATGGCAGGCTGTGCTTGGCTGCAGGGCTGTTCACTGATGGGTGATTATTGCACAGAATCTGTGTGTAGGAATCCAGAAATGGACATTTCTCTGTTTGTCCTGTTCTCCAAAAAAGGTATTAATCCTATTTGTCACTGACAGAAAAGCCTCCAAATATCCCTGGGTAAACCGGGATTTATAAAAAATTAAGTAAAAAGCAGTAGAGTGTTTAGTATGTCACTGAAATGAAAAAATACGGATTTTAAAGTGTTTAATACATGGAATAAAGATGGAGGGAAAAAAGTGTAGTTCTTAGATCTCCTTCTTCCTTATTCTCCATGATTCTGCAGTTTTTAAGGGCACAAAGAGTGATTGGTTGAAAGTTAGTTGCAGTTTTAGTTATGTAAGTAGGTATAGAAAACTCATTTGTTAATATATAAAAACAATACACGTGTCTATTGTTAATAAAGTAAAAATAGATATAAAAATAAAACAACTGCGTGGTTCAGGGCCATTTTATGCCATCAGAACCAAAGTGGGGCAAATTATAGTGATTTAAACTTGTGCAAAAAGTCTAGAAAAACCTGCCAAGTTTTGTGCTAGCATCCTAATAAACACAAGAAACAAGATCCTAACGAGCTTTAAAGTTTTCTTCCTAACCCAGAGAACTGAAATAAAGGGAATTCCCCGTGAGGGAGTATTCCAGAAAAACTCAGCTCAAAAGAGACTGAGAAACCCAAGTGCAAGAAGTGCAGCAGAATCAAAAAGAGAAAAAGTTTCACAGTGTTCTGTCACCTGCACAGGGAAAAGTGTTGCTGTGTGCTCGGTGTGTGAATTTATGAAATGAATAAAATAGTTATGTGCAGCAACACGCAGGAAGCCAGCAGTGAGATGCCCAGTGATAAGAGAATGAAGAAGGCCCAGGTTTTGTGGCTTTTGGGAATTGTGGAAGCGAGGTTGGGAGCGGATTTCTCCAGGGTGATTGTCCTTTCTCACGCACAGCACAAACCTCTGTGGTGCCTGCACCAAGTCAGGCACAGGAGAGCTCCCTGAGGGGTGGCACTGGAGTAAAGGAGGGCTTTGCAATCAAAAAAAAACCTCTAAAAGAACCAAATCAGCTCATTTCAGGAAAGGGTGGGGAAGTACTAACCCAAGATCCTTGCTCTGCAAAGGGGCATACAAAAGAATGGCTCAGTCTGCTATACTGGTAGATAAAACAATAATAAATAAACTGCATGCTTACACTCCTTTTCCCTTCTCTCCACACCAATGCCCTGACCCTCATCAGAGCCTTCAAAGCAATAAATATCTTTTCTGACTGACATGCAGATGGCACTTGTGCCCTCGTTAGGGAGTAAAATTGCTGAACTGCAATATGGGGGCATAGGTTGGGGGTGTTTGGGCAGGAGTGGGTTCTTCTTGGGGCTGTGTGTGTCTTTAAAAGCAAAGAACTGCTGCTTTATTGCCCTCCTGTGAAGTCCATGCTGATGCAAATAGGTTTTTGCTGAAGAGACTGGAATCAGTGACAAAGCACCATTTTAAAGACACACACAACACACACACACACAAAAAATATTTAATATTGCATAATCAAAGAGAAAAATTGGAAACTTTGTCCTGAAGGCAAATGCACCTATTTCTCATTCACTCTCCTCCCTTTTTCACTATTTTTTTCCCATGAAATACATGCAAATCCCAACATGCACTAAGTTTTCCTCCAGGCATGATATACTTGTGTGGTTATTTAAGAAGTGAGTTGAATAGAGATATGAGGTTTTCCCAGCAGAAAGAGCTTGGAAAAAACCAGAGTGCTCTGTTTACTGCTGTTGTTTTAAAGTTATGCACTCACCCCTGAGAGCATTTGTAGGTAGTAAAGGGGATAGCTGTCATTCTAATTATGAAAAACACACATT